CTGTGTCACAGTTTCACGTCTCCAAAATGAGCGTACGCATGGGTCAAAGCTGGCGGGAGGCACCGCACATTTTCACGTCAAGTTTGGGTTTTATAAATCACAACCTTAGCGTAAAAAGTGGCGTACGCAAGTTTCTGGGCTCAAATTGTGCGTACGCCAGTTTTATAAATCCGACCCCAGATCTTTTGAAGTGAGATTCTGTAGAAATGAAAGGAACAAAAAACATCTTACCTGCAGCAGATAACCCTTTTATACAACCTCAGTTTATTTCTGAGCAGACTGATGACGAGCTAACGGCTAGTCAGAGCGGTACAAGACCAAAATGGATTTCTGTCGTCGTTTCAGAATATTTTATGTTACATTATTCCTTCACGGCTCACTTCCTCTGTGTTTTCAGACGTCTGTCTGAAGTGTGAAAGGTTCGGCTCGTCTTGTAACGTGATGTTTCCGTTAAGGGTCCGGTTCTTCCAGCCGGTCGCTCGGCTTTCCAGTTTGTGGTTCTGGAACCCCAGGAATGTGAGCAGCGTGGGAACGGACAGGAGATTTAAGACTCAGAACCACCTGTTGACAGACCCCGGTCAAGTTTCTGATATGTCGGTCCAGGTTTTCCTCTGCGCTCTGTCAGATAAATGGTTCTGACCCATTTTAGAAGAATCAATCCAGATTATTTATTTATTTTAATTCAAGCTGCAGTTTACTCCAACACACCGTAAATTCGTCTGTGGTGACAGAAGGTGTATAACTCTCCCTCCTCCCCCGCTCGGTGCCTGGAGTATAAATAACGGCGAGGACGGAGCGGATCTCAGCCAGGCCCGGTTCTGTGGGTGCATCAGCACTTTAGGGAGGATTATTTGGTTTCCTTATCTTGTTCCCTGTGGGTGAAAGTGATGCTGCAGCATCACTCCCTGTGGGTCAGTGGGTTTCCTCACTCAGCTGAATCAGCTGTCGTCACACAACCGGGCTCAGTTTTTATTTTTGTCACTTCAGAAAAACAAAACTAATTTATGATTTTTAAAATTAACAACACTTTAAAAAAATAGCATCGAGATTTTCACAAACAGTGATATTTTAATCCTCCTGCTGTCCTTAAAAGCTATGCGTTCTGAGTCATTTTGACTCAAAACCAGCAGGAGGGTTAATTTAGCCTTTTAATAATTTAACTTTTTTCACAAAGAAATGATTTAGGCTCGTTTAGACAAAATAAAGATCATTCTTATAAAAAAAAATCAGATTTCAGACTGGATTCTGTGGAGTAGTAACATAAAGCTAGAAAAAAGCTAACAGTAGCAAAAACACTATCTAAAAGTAGCAAATCATTAAATAAAAGTAGCAAAATGCTAACCAAAAGCTAAAAGCAGCTTAATATCTAAAAAGATGCAAAACACCAACCAAAAGAAGCAAAATGGAAGCCAAAAGCTAAAAGTGGCTAAATATTATCTAATAGTAGCAAAAGGTTAACTAAAAGCTAAATGTAGCAAACATTAACAAAATGTAGCCAAATGCTAACGAAAGCTTAACATATCTAAACATTTTCTTAAAACAGCAAAGCATTAACTAAAAGTAGCAAATTGCTAACCAAAGGGTAAAAGTAGCAAAAACACTAGCCAAAAACTAAAAATGGTTAAATGTCTAAAAGCAAAACACCAGCCAAAAGCAGCAAAATACTAATCAAAAGCTAAAAGTTGTTAAATATTATCTAATAATAGCAAAAAGTTAACTAAACGCTAAACGTAGCAAAACATTAAAAGGAGGAAAATGCTGCCTTGAATGGTTGTAAAAAAGTAAATGTAACAAAAAAAGACAAACAAAGTCAGAATACTGAAGCAGCTTTCAAAAAAAAATTTTTTTAAATTAATTAAATATATCTTGTATTTTTATGGGAAAAGTATTTGTAATCAAGGTGAAATATGAAAACTCAGCGTTAACCAAAGAGGAATGTAAAAAACAACAGTAAAACAACAGGGTTCAGGATGAGTCAGCATTCACACAAAAACACACATTGTTGTGTTTAGGCTCAGTTTGGTAGAATTAATTACTTTCAAACTTACTGTTTGTGTAACATTCAGAGCAGCAGCCGGTGAGATGAGCTGTAATCTCTGGACATACAGCTGTAATCTGGATGATTGACATGAGATGAAGGGGGCGGGGTTTGCCTTCAGACCGTCACATAGAAGAAGAGAGAGATACGAGTAAGCGTGAAGCTGAATATGTAGGGACATGAATCAGAGACAGGTGTTAAGAATAAAACACTGATTCATAAAAATAAAAATGAACAGTAAAGTGTGCAGGTGGAGCGCCACGTTTTTAAACTGATATTTTGGTTTAAAGAGAGAAGAGGCAGAACTCCTGGAAGCTGTTTTGTTGTGTCGTCCAATAAAAGTCTCATTTTGTCCTTGTTTTGTCTGGTGTGCAAACTGCTGTGTCATTACTCATCCTTCAAGCGTTTGGATGTTCACCAGCTCACAAAACGAGAGCAAAATGTTCAGTGTTTTCTTTGTTTGTCTTTCAGGATCTGTCTGCTTGAACTGCTGTGATTCTGAACCCCTGAAGGTTTTTTCGCTTTTGAAAAGATTTCTGCGTCTCATCCCGATCCCTCGATGGGTTCTCGCAGCCAAGGCTTCTTCCACAACCATCACAACCACCACCACCGCAGCTCCATGGCGCCCGCCACCGTGCCGCGGCTGCTGCCCGAGAGCGGCAGCTTGCTGGGAGGCATCGCCCAGATCACCCCCAACCTGTTCCTCAGCCGGGGCAACGTGGCGTCCAACCGCAGCCTGCTACTGTCCAAGGGCATCACCTGCGTGGTCAACGCCACCATCGAGCTGCCCAACTTCAACTGGCCTCACATGGAGTACGTCAAGGTGCCGCTGGCCGACATGCCTCACTCCCCCATCTCCCTCTACTTCGACAGTGTGGCCGACAAGATCCACAGCGTGGGCCGCAAACGGGGGGCGGTTCTGGTGCACTGCGCGGCCGGGGTGAGCCGCTCGGCCTCGCTGTGCCTGGCGTACCTCATGAAGTACCACCGCGTGTCTCTGGCCGAGGCTCACGCCTGGGTCAAGGCCCGCCGGCCCGTCATCAGGCCCAACGGGGGCTTCTGGCGCCAGCTGATCGAGTACGAGAGGAAGCTGTTCGGCAGGAACTCTGTGAAGATGGTGCAGACGCCGTACGGGGTCATACCTGACGTTTACGAGCGGGACCGCAGGACCCTGGCTCCGTACTGGGGCCTGTGAGCGTCAGCCCCAAAGGCCACGGCGAAGCTAGGTCCAGACCTCTTCTGGTCCAGTCATTGCGTTGGGAGCAGGGCGACTTCCAGACCGTAGCGCTAACATACATTAAACTTGGACGATGGTACTATCTATTTCCCGGTCACCCGCTACGAAGATGAGTGTCCTCGAGCCTCAGCGGCGCCGACGGTGATGACCTTTCCCCCGACGTGGTGTCATGTGGTGGTTCTGTGTCAGTTTCTGTAATACTTAGTGTGAAGAGCAGCAGCACGCTCTCAATTTATGGTAGCATTTAAGACAAGTGTGCAAAAAATTAAAAAAAATAATAAAATAGGCAATTTATTTTATTGCTGACAGGAGAGAGGGTTATGATGCACTTTAACCTCAGAGATGTCACGGCTGCATTTTTGAAGGCGAAAAAGATGAAATCTGGACGTGAAGGTTTTCAGTGAAAGCTCCTGTGTAACACAGGGTTCCTTTCTGTGACCACACTATGTTATTGTAGTGCTTATCTGACGCTGTATTAAAAAATATCTGCTGCTTCAGAGAAGTGGTAGCTCCGTGGAGGAGAGTCCTATTCATTTATTGTCTCGAGTCCAGACCGCTGCCCTGCTTCCTGTGGTTTTAAAGAATCAGGTAACTGAGGCTGTTTGAGGAGCGATAAAGGGCGAAGACTTCTCACCTCACTTCAAAGATTCTGCCATGGTTATCGTTAACGTGACAGCGTTGAGTTCTGATTTAAACGCTTGTTTTTAACCAAACTTTCTCCGCAGATTTTCACCGACAGCTGCGTCGGTCAGTGTGTGTGCTGCGGGAGCTCCGGCTGCCAAAGATGTGCGAACACGTCCGCCCACGACTCGCACCTAAGCCAAAATGTGCTGAAAAAAGCGAGCAGAAATCTGTCGAACCAAACTGTGGCTCCTGTTCCGACACGGCGTTCTGTGACAAATGCTGAGCGTTTTATTATTCATGATGGACGATCGTAACGCGAGCCGTTCATTAAAGGCTCAACTGACTACTTAAACCAGGGGAGTGAAACTCGTTTCCACCGAGGGCCACATGAGCATTATGGTGGTCCTGAAGGGGCCAGTTTTAATTAACTTCAATGTTTCGTCTTTTACTTCAGCTAAATGTAAAACATCCTGTTCTTCATCTCAATGCTACGGCTGAGCACCGCTAACAAACATTAACTGAGCTCTACATGGTATTTCCTGCATAGAAACAGGGTTTTTAAAAAGTACTACATGTACGACTGACTGAATGTGAAATAAATGATTCAGAAAAGTAACAGTAAGAGAGTTTTACTCGAGTTGAATTCTGAACTCACTTTCCAACAGGGAATTCCCACTGGAGGGGCGTTCCAGTTTCAATTTAAAACCTGTAAGTGGGAAGTTCCCACTTCCCAGCACAACTGGGTCACAGTAAAATTAGCTGATGAAAACGTGACTAAATAGAGATTTTACACAGCGAGTAAACAGCTGTCTCTCCCGGTGCTGTGTAGATATAATAAAGATATATTTATATCCTGTTTTGTGCCATATTTTTCTTCACCATGTTTTTGAACTCTTACATCACAGTATTTGCTGCGGAACTACTAAACAAGGATTCAGGCTGACCAGTTTTGTGAGTCCTTCATGCTACATTTACACCAAACGTGTTTTGAGTGTCTGGTTAGCACGCAAAGTCAATGATGGACGCGCATCTAGGGGCTAGTGAAGGGACATCTGAAGCAAGGCTTTGAGGCACGTATCGAGTAAAAAGGGGGCGTGTCAAGTGAAGCTCCACTTCGATGCTTGTGTCATCTTGCTGAAAATCACGTGACTAACGACAAAGAATGCCTCGCATTACATCGGCCATGTCGCCGCTTCATTTTGCATGTAGTTTGTCAAAAATAAAAGCGTGATTGTATCCGGTGAATGGGGCGGGGCATGAAGTGCTTCATCCATCCATTCATCCATCCATCCATTTTCTTCCACCTATCCGGGGTCGGGTCGCGGGGGCAGCAGCTTCAGAAGGGAGGCCCAGACCTCCCTCTCCCCAGCCACTTCTTCCAGCTCCTCCGGGGGAACTCCAAGACGTTCCCAGGCCAGCCGAGAGACATAGTCCCTCCAGCGTGTCCTGGGTCTTCCTCGGGGCCTCCTCCCAGTGGGACGTGCCCGGAACACCTCACCAGGGAGGTGTCCAGGAGGCATACTTACCAGATGCCCGAGCCACCTCAACTGGCTCCTCTCGACGTGGAGGAGCAGCAGCTCTACTCTGAGTCCCTCTCAGATGACCGAGCTTCTCACCCTATCTCTAAGGGAGAGCCCAGCCACCCTGCGGAGGAAGCCCATTTCGGCCGCTTGTATCCGGGACCTCGTTCTTTCGGTCATGACCCAAAGCTCATGACCATAGATGAGGGTAGGAAYGTAGATCGACCGGTAAATCGAGAGCTTCGCTTTCTGACTCAGCTCTCTCTTCACCACGACGGACCGGTACAGCGCCCGCTTTACAGCAGACGCTGCGCCAATCCGCCTGCCGATCTCCCGCTCCGTTCTTCCCCCATTCGTGAACAAGATCCCCACAACTCCTCCACTTGAGGCAGGACGACCCCCCTGACCCGGAGAAGGCACTCTACCCTTTTCCGGCTCAAGATGGCCTCGGATTTGGAGGCACTGAGTCTCATCCCGGCCACGAACCGCTCCAGCGAGAGCTGCAGATCACGTTCCGATGAAGCCAACAGGACCACATCATCCACAAAAAGCAGAGATGCGATCCTAAGGCCACCAAAACGGAGCCCCTCAACATCTCGGCTGCGTCTAGAAATTCTGTCCATGAAAGTAATGAACAGAATCGGTGACAAAGGGCAGCCTTGTCGGAGTCCAACTCTCACCGGAAACGAGAAATGACTTGCTTCATTTGCATTTAAAGAGACAGCACCAAAACGAGTTGCTCTCAAACGCACCTCAGAACAGGGGTGAAAGAGGGGCTTGTGGAGCTACGACGATGACGAATTCACACCAAAGCATTGCAGTTCCACTTTATATAGACCCCAACTGAATGATTTAAATGTGAGAAGATTTGAAAGCAGGATACGTCCACTTCAACGATTTTTAATATCTCGCACAAAACGGTTTTTGTGGTTGCTGTGATGGGAGGCGTCTCTGAGACGTTTCCTCGTGAACAAACTGCAGCGATTCTCGTTCCTCCCTCCAGAGACGTCCTCACGAGTCCAAACAATGTTCCTGTCATTCATTTTTATTTGCTGCAGTTTCAGAGCAGCAGGCAGAAACTGATGAACTCCATTCATCTTCTGCCCACTCTCCTCAAAGACCTCCACCACCACTTCCATTACCCACCGAGACCACGCCCCGAACAGCCTCAACGCCACGGACGTGTTCAAGTGACGGCTCCAAATTATACAGTGTTTTTTTCCAGAACAAAATAAAATTAAAAAAAACTATTTTTTTCTTCAGTTTTCTGGTGTTCTGCTCTCGACTGCGTTAATGTAAGTTCACGCAGGTTGTTCCTGCGGCCGTGAGTAAACACATCTTTCAGCGGCGGCAGAAACATCATCATCTATCATTAAAGCAGCAAGTGGAGCCACGAGCGTCGGAGCGGGCCGGGCCGCAGCCGAGCAGAACCAACAGAACCGGTGGAAGTTTCTGCAGATGATGTTTCAGCAGGAAGCATCAAAGTCTGCTGAGCTGCAGCAAACCTCATATTCATTATTATTGATTGTGAAAGAACGAGGAGCGTTACAGCCTGTTTGTATTCTTCACTAAGCTTTTTCAAAGTCTCATTCAGCCTTCAGATTTTTAAAATATTCTGTCTCACTTCTAGTATTTTAATCCAGTGGTTTTCAGGCTTTCTAAAGGTCTTTTAAGAATTATTATTTTGGACTTCGGCTGTTTAATGTGATGTCCAAGGACTGACTTTTAGTTGTTCAGCTATTTTGACTCAATCAATAAAAATAATTATCCACAGCTACAACAAACCTTTTTAAACGTTTTAAATGTGCGTCTTGCTTGTTTCCAGTTAGCCACAGAAAGGACCTTAAATTTAATGAAGGCATCACATACTGACTCAAACTTTTCAGCAAAGAGTTCATTTTATCAGTATCTTTAAGCCTCTATTGATTTTCAGGCCTGATTGTTGTTTTTCTGTTTTAAGCATCATTATTTTACAGTTTTCTGTTTGTTTTGCAGTTTTTGAGTTTTCATGTTAATAGTTTTAGGCCCAGTTTTCCTCGTGTTGCTTTAGGACTCACCTGTTCCCTCCTGTCACACCTGCCCTTCAGCTAATTAGACTCAGCTGTTTTAACTCTGCAATCACCTGCTTCACTTCGCTGTGTCCCAGTTTTTGTAGTTCTGTTGGATTGTCTCCAGCTCAGTTTTTTTCATGCTGTTTTTTATTTTCTTTTACAGTTTAGTTCCACCAACGTGCTGATGATAAGATCAGACAGAAAAATGGAAAATTAGTTTAAAAAAATGATCAAACGACCACTCTAACAGATTAAAAAACTCTGACTCCTTAGAGGATAAATGTATGAAAATTAGAAATTTAACTTTTTTTACACAGCACTGATTCACAACTAAAGTTATCTCAGCAGGAAAACATTCATGCACATTAAAAAGTACCAATAAGTACAAGTTATCTAAGGAAGCCAGCAGGCTGAGCCTCCCTTTGGTGACAGTGGGAAGGAATGACTCCCTTTTAACAGGAAGTGACCTCCAGAACCAGAACTGGGCTCAGGAAGGGCAGCCGTCTGCCTCGACCAGCTGAGGATACTTTTAGAAACTAGGAACCACAAGAAGAAAAAAATTTGTATAGGTCTTCTGGTCGGGTTCTTCTCTAATGAAACGTTTCGTCTCTCCTCCAAGAGACTTCTTCAGTCTGAGAGTGTCAGGCAAAATTCAGGCTTTTAAACCCTGCCTCCATGGGACTGATACTCACATCACATGGCTATCGTTGACACCTAATTAACACCTATTGTTAACAGGGGGTGGAGTGATACTGGCAATAGCAGCACTGTAGGAGGGGGACAACTCACAGTCACATGGAGGCAGGGCTTAAAAGCCTGAATTTAGCCTGAAACTCTCAGACTGAAGAAGTCTCTTGGAGGAGAGACGAAACGTTTCATTAGAGAAGAACCCGTCCAGAAGACCGATACAATTTTTTTCCTTTTGATTTTTTACCTGGATTACTGAGATGCATCAGGACATTAGGAACCACAAGTAAACCTGCAGCCTTAGAGTGAAAATTAAACAATAACTACTTTAATATTACGTATGTTGGAAGCAAAATTTTTAAGCTTACTCTGATTTTACCAGGGAGCTGATAGAGAAAAGTTAAACTGGAGAAATATAATTACTCCTAACGCTCATCAGAAATCTAGCAGCAACATTTTGGATCAACTGAAGACATTGAGTTTCTTGGACACCCAGTAAATAAAATTATAAAGCAGTTCAAACTTGAGGTGATAAAAAAACTATATAGGGAAATTTAAATGTTTTATTTATGTACGCTACAAATATGTATACATTTGAGCTGAAGCCATGTGAGTAATACTATGTAAATAATTTTATTTCACACAGCCATTATTGATGCAAACATGCTGCGTAAACCTCAGCTTCCCTGCTCATAGAGCTATAACTAGTTACAATCTGAGCCGTTAAAGCACCGGCTGCCAGCAGCACTCAAATCTACAACTAATCATCCCACAGGGCAGATTTAAATCCTGTTAGTCTTCCTGTAATGGTTATGAAAACACAGGATGGAAGCAGTTATATAAAGAAGCCATAAGAAGCAGCAGAATGTCATGAAACGAGTCGTTCCTCCTCAGCTGAACGAGCGTCTCATCTCTGTCGTCTGCTGAGCCTCAGATGTCTGAACTGATGGATAAAACGACAAATGGCCCAGAGCTGTGATCAGTTTGCACCGAACATCGTGTAGAACCTGTGCTGGTCAAATGAAAATTGTTCTCATTTTTTAATCAAGTTTAGTTTTAAGCTCGCAGATCATATTCTACAGAATATAAATCGTTTAAAATGAATGCAGGTGCAGAGAACAACGGCATAATCTGAAATGAGAGATGATGTGTTTTCAGATGACACTGTGATCTAATGAGAACAGAGAACAGGTGGAAGGGAACTTGGAGAGGAGGAGAAAAATGATTTCTTTAAGGAGACATGTTTACACAAATCTCAATTACAGCAAATCAATATTTAATTAATTTATTTTACTCTGAAGCCTGCTAACGTTTGAGTCGTAAAATAAACACCAAAGAGTTCAACTGATCGTTTCACTGCAGAGAAAATACGCGAAGACGACGAGCTCGCTGCATTTTCAATTAACTGTTGGGTAATTGACTTCTTGTTTTTGTAATTTTCCATCATCTTCCCACTGTGTTTGCTGTGAGAGAAGAGGAATTCATTTTTTCTGCAGGGAAATAAATTAGAGAACAGCGAGGGACAAAATGGATGTTTGAGAACACACCTGAAGAGTGGGAGAAAGATAATGAGACGGTGAAGCCCTGAAGACATCTCATCTGATTGGCTGAGCTCAACCCTCCAGTGAGGCCCGGCAGGCTTGTTGGAGAGGCTGTTTTTTTTTTCTTTCCCATTTTGAGGCAAAGTGATGGAAATGATGAGGCCTCTCTGGCCTCAGAGAAGGAAAACATGCAGCAGGGTCTGTTTGGAAAAGTGAACGTGACACGAAAAGTGATCAAAAAAACATGAGAAGCAATGATTTCAATGACTGCTGGAACACGCCTGCTGTTTGACCAAAATATGTACAAATATAAACAAATCAAGAAAACATACATTTACTCACGCATGGGCAATCCATGGCCTGAGGGCCAGTAAGGGCCTTTGGATAACCTGTAAACGACCTTTAACACTAATTGAAAATAAAATAGAAAAACCAAATCTAATCAAAATAAACATGGATATATTCCCATTTCACCACTCTCTGGACACGTTTTGTGGCAAAACACTTGATATACAATCTTCACATATTGTTTTTTTCTGTAGTTTATCTGTATAACAAACATCATTAAAAAAGCCACGTGTGTTTCAGTGTATCATATTCATCTGTGTTAGCTATGTAGCTAATCTTTGTTATGCAATGTTTATGTTTTGCAAGGAATATCCCACCAAACAGCTAGCCTAAAATTAGCTACAAAGCTTTGCAACAAAGCTAACCTTTGTAGCTAATCTTAAACTATGGGGACATATGTAAGTCTCACGTTAATGCAGGTGTGCACACCTGCACAGAGTGATTCAAGCTAGCAACAGGATTGGCACACACACAAGTGCACATATATGATTACCTGTGAATTTGACTTTTGAAACTTTTTTTTTGGTGTCACTTCAGAAAACGAAACCAAATTTTAGTTTATTTAGTTCTTCATTATCAGTGACTTTTTTTCTTTTTTTTTTTGAACTTTTGAAACTTTCAAGGCTGCATTCAAGGCTGGAAAAAAGCTGGGAATTCTGAGCTTTGCCGTATTTAGTGGGTTATTGGGGAAAAATTAATTTCTGACTTGTAGCTCATAAACTACAGTATACGCACGCTTACATGACTGGGCTCAAACATGTTGCATTTTGTGGACTGTACAGCTGAATTAAACACAAGTGTGCTGAAAATTTATCAGAAAAATACATCAGGCCTAGTGGAAAAATACATTTTCGACAGTTTTTCCACAAAAGGAATAACCTACCCATCTGACATTTATATCACTGTTCAGTTCACAAAATAACATTACTTCTTGTTGGAAAACTACCGGAAAAAATGTACTTTTGAGTATTTACCTCAAATGTACAGTCCACATAAGAAATACAGGAATCTATGTGATTATTTTAAGGATAAATTATTGGGTCATTCTTAGACAAAAACTAATGGAAACACTTATTTACCAGCATTCCTCTGCAAAAACAAATATTTTCAACGCTCAACTCTTGTGCATACACGCTCACATTTTGACACTTATTTCTCTTCATACCAAGCTAACTTTATGTAGCTACAACTTTGTGTACTTGTCTGGAATGCTCTGAATATGTTGTGCTACTTATAAATATTGTGTTAGTGATCTAGTAACAGTCAAATTAGTCAAATTTTATCTTTACGTTAGCAATAATTCCAACTTTGTACAATATTTTATTCCGCACTTAGACAAAATACAACTGCAACACCTGTAAGTACTCTCGTTTAATGCATCACATTCACATTATATTTGATAACTACATGACACTGAATTAAAAGAAATAAACCATTTAAACACAATAAGGTTCTAGATTTGTACATTTCCACACCACACAGATACAGAAAAAGAGATCCACACATCCCCTCCCTAAATATTCATAAAATACAATTTAAATAACCAAAAAAGTGTTGAAGTTTCCTTTCAACAGTGCAAAAAAAAAAAAACCCCACATTCAGAGCAATTCAACACAATGCATAAAAAGAGATATAACTGCCTTCCAGTGCAGCAATGGGTTTGAACGTTCTCAAAGTGACATTAAAATCCTCACATCCACAGTTTCATCCAACAGATTTGCAGCACAAATGTAATTCAAGTAAAACAGCTCACTTATGATTCAACATGTTTTCGCAGAAAGCAAAGAAAGTCATGAATAAAATACATTTGAAGCAAAGAAACGAGGAGCATTAAAACCTCAAGATGTGTGCAAACATCTCAAACCAGTGTTCTTAATGCTATTGCACCTTTCAATCATTTAAATACTACTTTGTTTAACAATAATTTACTGAGCAGTGATAATCAGATAAAAGAAAGCATCATTAGTTGAAAGTTTAAATAAGACCTCCCTTTGGGGATCTGTCTGAACGAGCTAAAGGTCGGGTAAATGAAGAGGAGTTAAAAGAGAAGAAGAAGAATACAGCAGGATCCAGTGACTTTAAACGTCCTTCCACTCGTTCTCGGCGTGATGCGATCGGCCACGGCGCCTGTTTGAACTTAATTATTTCCTCCGCTGTTGCCATGGCAGCTCAGAGCAGGTCGGGCAGGATGAGGCCCGGAGGTTTGGGCTCCACACAGTTGATCCAAAAATTGGCGCAGCTGGCGTGGTACTGGTGGCCCCCGTACGACAGCTTGAAGTTGTCCGTCTCCGAGTTAAAAGCCTGTCGAGAGGGGAGAGGTTAGATCTGCGGACACGGTCGACGCCCCCTCTACAACAACGATGGAGGAAAACCTCCGACATCAAGGCTGCGTTTTACTTATTGAGCAAGCAAATCATTTTGGTTAATTTCGACATCAAACTTGAAGGAAACGTGCCTTGATGTTGGACAGTTCACCTCTTCACCCGTCTAAGAGTCTCTGTTTGAACCTACAGGTTGTATCGCACTCGGCTGTCAGCAACTCAAACATTGTTACTCAAGAAGGAATTAAAACTTTATTGTTTTTTTCTTTCATTTTTTTGTAAGTTGTAAATTTAAGATTTCTTTGATTGAATTTATTTAAGAAAAAGGGGCAGAAATCATAAGATTCTTTTCTTCTTCTGCTACCTTTCATTTAATTTGATTTGTTTTTTGTTGTATGTTAAATTTATGTTGTTTTATTTTAAATGAATAAATTTATTTAAAAAAAAAAGAATGGGAGGTAGAGCCTCTCTTGTGAAACCACAAGAGTCTACTTTTAAGACTAGATGAAATGTTTTTGATTAATCCCACAGTTAAGAGTTGGTTTCCTGAGTTATTCCTTGGTTCTGCTGCTAGGTTTCCACTGCTGGAGGACAAACTGACCATATTTCCTCACTCTGCTGCTGTCTTTAGTCACTCTCTACATGTTTATTGTAATTATTTCCATCAATAACGTGGTTTTTTTTTGTCGCTCTTATAGAAAATGACACCTGGACTAGTCATTCTGTGTTTGTGTCTTAACTGTCCTCTCAAACCCAGCCAGTCGAGGCCATCGGTCCTGAGCCTGGTTCTGCTGGAGGTTTCTTCCTGTTAAAATGGAGTTTCTCCTCTCCACTGATGCCGCGGTGCTGCTCAGGATGGGAGACTGTGATGAAGTGATGATTCGGCACTATCTGCTCGCTTCTTTAGATTGACTGTTTTTGTACAGAGACCTGAGACGACGTTTGTTGTGACTTAGAGCTATTTGAATAAACTGAACTGATTTGAATTGAACTAACACGATGACAACATTAGTTCTCTGCATTTGACCCCTCACACATGGGAGATCAGTGGGCAGCAGATAAGAAAACAGATGGCTTGCTCAAGGACACCACAGCTTATAGACGTGGTGGGGAATCAAACTTGCCCAGTGAGATATTAACTTAAGTTATTATTATTATTATTATTATTATTATTATTATTATTGTAACCCCAGTATCTATACNTAACTTAAGTTATTATTATTATTATTATTATTATTATTATTATTATTGTAACCCCAGTATCTATACTTAGCACAAAAAGTAATAAAATGTATGTTTGGTAGATTATTTCTTTCATGTAACGATCCTTCTTGGCAATAAATCTTATCTGATCAAAACAAGTGTCAGTAGCAACAGGAAAATAAGCTGTTTGGCAGAGGTTTGGTAAAATTTGCATGTGCACAAGCCACATACTCGACTCTACTGCTCATCCCACAAATGCATGTTCCTTACAAATGTGGCTCCATTTAAAAGAGAAATTAACAGACTTTCCAACAGTATAAGACTTACTGCCACTGAGCCTTGTTACAACAAATAAATAATCTACCAATCATCCTCAGGTTGGTTTGGTCTGTGTTTAAAACAATCCCTGAACTACTAGCTGTACCCCGGACAATGTCAAAGGCTGATTGTAGAAGAACTTGGTGTTGAAGGAGCACAATAAACAACAAACAAACAAATCAAATGTTGCGTGTAGTAGATTTATAATACAGCCGTTATAAATAATAAAACAACGGACCTAAGACTGATCCCTGAGGCATCCCTTTAGCTATTCTGAAGGGGGTGGAGGTTAGACCTTCAACCTGAAGGCGCTCAGATCTGATTGTCACATAATTTTCAAACCAACCTGGTGATTGTTTTGAACATTAATTTCCATCAACACATGAAAACATATAAATATTGCTTTTGGATGTAAGAGTGATCCTTTCCAGGTGGCAGGATTTCATGTACCTTAATCACGGTCACGCGGTGAATATTTATCACTATTTATTTATAAGATTTAGATTAAAAAAAGCTGTGTGACCTCAAACATGGAGGCAGGTTTTCCTCTGGGCGCAGCTGCAACATTTTGTGTTCAACCAGGGGACTCTAAACGTGTGCAACGTGCAGTTTAGGGTCGCATCCCTGCTGAAATGATGGCGCTGAACCTGGAGCGAGGAATGAGTCATGTGCGGCGAATCACAACCTTCCATACAAGCAGAGAGAGAGACGCGAGCAGAAAGCAACGATTGTGTGTGAATTATAAAAAAGTCTCTCCACTATAACACACCATTAAGTCGAATACATCTCCACCTGCCTGAACGCTCTCTGCAGCTCTGATGCTCCACTGCTTCCTAATGTGACCTGAATGACACATTTTCCACTCATCACCTTTTTTCACATGCTCACATTTCACGATGGGAGCGGCTTCCTTTCAGTGCTCCTTTGTGCCCTGGCCTACTTGTTCCTGCAAACCTACACCCACCCGGGACTGCCGGGGCTGAGGTGGCTGGTGTCGGGAGGATGAGGATGTGAAATGAGAAAGGTGGTCACACAAAGACAGCTGTAATAAATCCACCTTCACCTGCATGCATCAGAGACTAACTCCACCTGGATGAGCAGGGTGGATGCTTCCAGACAGGCAGCCTCTGGTTAATATTTTATGATTAAACTCAAGCTGAAGTTATCAGATTAAACATGGATTTACCAGAACCTTTTTTATTCTGCAGGTGCAAAAAATGCTTGCTAAAGGGTATAAGGTTTTTGTTCTTGTCTGTGCCTGGTTCCATGAACCACCAGACAGATTCTGATGAAAACTCTCCCAGTGGATGGATGGATGGCTGGATGGATGGATGAATGATGGATGGATGGATGGATGGATGGATGATGGATGGATGGATGGATGGATGGATGATGGATGGATGGATGAATGATGGATGGATGGATGGATGGATGGATGGATGGATGGATGGATGGATGGATGGACATATGTATGTATGTATGTATGTATGTATGTATGTATGTATGGATGGATGGATGGATGGATGGATGTACAGACGAACAGATGGATGAATGGATGCATGAACAAAAGGATGGATGATGGATGGATGGATGATGGATGGAAGGATGGATGATGGATCGACGGACGGATGGGTGGATGGATGGATGAATGATGGATGGAAGGAAGGATGGATGGATGATGGATGGAAGGATGGATGGACATATGTATGTATGTATGTATGTATGTATGGATGTATGTATGTATGTATGTATGTATGGATGGATGGATGGATGGATGGATGTACAGATGAACAGATGGATGAATGGATGCATGAACAAAAGGATGGATGATGATGGATGGATGGATGATGGATGGAAGGATGGATGATGGATGGACGGACGGATGGGTGGATGGATGGATGAACGATGGATGGAAGGAAGGATGGACAAATAGATGGATGGATGGATGATGGATGGATGGATGGATGTACAGACGAACAGATGGATGAATGGATGCATGAACAAAAGGATGGATGATGATGGATGGATGGATGGATGATGGATGGATGGATGATGGATGGAAGGATGGATGGATGGATGGACAAACGCATGGGTGGATGGAAAGATGGATGGATGGATGGATGCATGAACAAAAGGATGGATGGATGGATGATGGATGGATGGATGGATGGACAAATAGATGGATGGATGGACAAATAGATGGATGGATGGATGCATGAACAAGAGGATGGATGGATGGATGGATGATGGATGGCTGGATAGATGAATGGATGATGGATGGATGGATGATGGATGGATGATGGATAGATGGATGATGGATGGATGGATGGATGGATGATGGATGGATGGATGATGGATGGATGATGGATGGATGAATGATGGATGGATGTTGGATGGATGGATGGATGATGGATGGATGGATGATGACGGATTAATGGATGGATGATGAATGGATGGATGTTGGATGGATAGATGATGGATGGATGGATGGATGGATGGATGATGGATGATTAATGGATGGATAATGGATGGATGATGGATGGACGGATGGATGATTAATGGATGGATGACGGATGGATGGATGGATGGATGATGGATGGATGGATGATGGATGGATAGATGATTAATGGATGGATGATGGATGATGGATGGATGATGGATGGATGGATGATTAATGGATGGATGATGGATGATGGATGGATGATGGATGGATGGATGATTGATGGATGGATGATTAATGGATGGATGATGGATGATGGATGATGGATGGATGATGGATGGATGGATGATGGATGGATGATGGATGGATGGATGATGGATGGATGGATGATGGATGATGGATGATGGATGGATGATGGATGGATGGATGATGGATGATGGATGATGGATGATGGATGAATGATGGATGGATGATGGATGATGAATGATGGATGGATGATGGATGATGGATGGATGATGGATGATGGATGGATGGATGATGGATGATGGATGATGGATGGATGGATGATGGATGGATGGATGATGGATGATGGATGATGGATGGATGATGGATGGATGGATGGATGA